ATGATAGGTCAGGTACATTTTTATTTGAAGAAGAAACATGAAGAAGATTAGCATTCCAAAAATGAATTTTAAAAAGTCATGTCAATGTAAATATAAAAATTGTAATTTTCCTTGTTACACAGTGTAATTTGAATGAACTGGTTCTATATGTATATATTGCCTACATACAGATATGCAGAAAACCTAAGTAATTCAGTTTAAAAGGTTGTAATTTTTATGTTCAATCTAACCAATACAAGGAATTTCATTAAACACTTAAAAATATTCATAAAACCTTAGAAGGGACCAGCATGATGAATTTATCTTATATTCTAAAACCAAATTTGGGTTGACAAATTCCAGCTACACCACATGATTAGGACAGAAGAAACTATCTGAACATGAAACTGCACACCCCACCCCCCCAACTAAACTGTAGTACTGTTAACGTGAAAAACACAGCATTATGAATGTTGACTTCATTTGAAAAGATGAGATAAAAAGACTTTCTGAAAATAGAAAGCCCCAGGAAGTTAATTGCGCTAGGGGTAAGTTCATATAATATTTTGTATGAATCAAAAAAATATGTCTGAACTAGGATTCTCTGGAACAAAGAGCACAGTCTGGAGGAGGAAAGCCTGCCTGCTACGGAGGTTGTGTGTTGCTGCATGGCTGGTGTTGAGGCTGCTTTTCAAGTAGAGCAGAGAGGGCTCTGTCAGTGATGTAAGAATCCCATCAATAGTGGAAAACACCAAGGGCTGGGTAGTGGTGCTTTGTAGACAAAATGAATCCCTATTGGATTTGACAGGTAGGAGCAGAAGAGAAAGTGGTTCACTAACTATGTGTTCGCCGAAAGATCCAACGGTGGCCAGAGGAGCCTAGAGAAAGGATGCTTCCCATGTGGATAAGAAAGATGGTGATGGAAAGCCAGGCTGGTTCTTAGTAGAATTTGGGTGTAAACCTACTTGGAGCCAAAAAGCATTGTCTCCCCATTGAAAGACTCTTGGAATAATCAGCCATCCAATAACTGGTTGACTTCTGAAATAAAATATGGTTGATTTGGCTGATCTTTTTGTCTGGTCTAGGGCACCTCTGCATTTTTATCGATAGAATGCAGTAAGTGAAACTGAGTAAAACCTGTAATTTCGGCTTTCTCAACATATTGATGATCACTGGCTCCCGCGTCGCCTCCCCTTGTTTTATCAAGAATGCGGTTCTTTGGCCTTCTAAGAAAATTTGTGAAATTGCATTATTGAGTTCATGCCTCTCATTGTGCAAACCCAGAAACTGGGATTCCGAGAAGGTAAAGAATTGCCAGGAACCATGCAGCCAGAGTCAGAACCATGGACACTTTGTTCCATGGCCCTGCTCGTCAGAGGCCAAAACACTAGCCTTGCAACATGATAATTTATACTTGTTGTGGCCTTTTAGTTCACTTTCTACTTGTATACCTGTCTACATCCATCTTTTCCCAAGAAAGTCTTAGACCATAATATAGACCTTAAGTTTCCAGTAACATTTTAGTCAACCTGAGATAAATAAAGAATTACTATTTCATATTATACTTACCCATTGATACAAGAAAAATAATTGGGATGTATGTCTTCTATGTAACACTTGAAGAAATACAAGAAAAATAATTGGGATATATGCTTTCTATGTAACACTTGAAGAAAAAATCCAATATATTCCTAATAAGTCATACATGAAAATCATGTGATATAATAATGACATGATTTTAATATAATTCAGATTTTATTTCAACTATTTCTAAATTCAACTAGAAATAAAAATCTTCAGAAAATGTTTTAATACTGACTTTCTCTTTTATGCTAAAACAGGAGATCATATTTTGAGGAGATCTCCTATAACATTACTTTCCTATTAGGTTATCAGCCTAAATGGCGCTATTTTACTGGATTTCATATGTGCCACAGATCCTGCTGGGAAAGCATAAAACTGGACTCATTTAGGAAGAGGCAATGTGACTCTATGAGAAAAGCTGCCATATGTGAAACCTCACTTTATGCCTGTTGAAATTTTTGTATTTCAGATCTCCCAGGGATATGTCCATTGTGCTATTGTATAATTTTATCAGCATGAACTTCTGCTGAATATTTTCTCTTCTTTTCAAAACCCGTATTTTGGTAGAGCTAACTTCAAAACTTAATGTTGCAACATCTGTGCCCATACACCTGGGAGCCATAGAAGATGTATCCTGAAGATTATCTACATTTTCTAATCTTATAGAATGCTACAAAATGAGAGAACAAGTTTATACATTTTTTTCCTGGTCTGAAATTTTTTGAAAGCAACCACTTTCTGTCTCCTTGGATTCTCAAAATAAAAGAGAACCAATATTTTTAAAGCAATAAAGAATATCCCTACAAATGTAATAGAATATTCATTTGTTTTTGTTTGCAGATAAGAGTAATTTTTAAGATGTTTGTGCAACTTTCCATTAAAATACACTGAATATACACAAAACCTGGAGCTATATTCTCAAAATGCTTTCAAACAACATTCTAAGAACTCCATGAGCCTAAAGAAAGCAAAAAAAAAAAAAAGTCCTTATTTGATTTATTTAGTACTTTTATTCCATGGATCTGCCAATAGATCAATGGCATCTTCTTTTAAAAATAGAAATTATGGTTGGATCAGCACTTCCCAAATAGAAGATTGACATCTTGACAAAGAAAAAGGAGTTTCTGAAGAGCGAGAAATGCCTCCCACTTCACCTTTCATTAATTGTTCTGTCTTTATAGAAAAGAACATACATATCGAAACCGCCTGCAGGATTCGGTGTTGAAAAGGAAATGTGCAGAACGATTTTTTTTTGTTGAAGGAAAAGGTGGAAAATGTGAAGTTTTGATGGATTCAAAATAGTTAGGAAGGACCACAAATGGACTTGAGCAACTCCACATGTGGATTCTCTCGACTTGGTCGTCAATTTATTGAAGTGTGAGGAATACTAAACAATGAGTGCTTTCTATGTGGCAGGTACTGTGATTTCTGTACATGGGTCAACTCATTAAAGTTTCTCCACAACTGTACGTGACAAGTGATTTTGTCATCACCATCTTACAAAGGAGGACTCTGAGGCATTGAAAGTTGAAAGAGCTTGCCCACAGCCACCCAGCATGTCAGTGTGGGGAAGAGCTACTCCACAGTGTCCTGAATCTACATCACCCCACTCTCCTCCTGCAACTTCCCTTATCTGTCACAGGCTAGCTATTCACTCTTACTTTGAAGCAAAGAATAAGATGAGAAGGGGATGCGTTTTAAGTTATTTCAAATTTAAACAGGAATATGCAAGGCAGGGCCAAGTTAAGTATCTGCCAGAAAGAAGGGGAGGGAAAATTTTGTTAATTCAAAGCCACAGGCATTATTACTCTCCTGCAGTGAAAAGTCACATTTGAAAAAAGAAATCCAACTTCAAAGTTGCTACAAGCAAGTAGCCGACTTTGACTTCACTTCTTTCTCATGAGCCATTCTGCCATTTTCTATAGAGGACTGGCATCCCTGCAAGGGAGAGGGATGTGGGTATTTTGAGGAGGGCTAGATGCTGGAGAACTACTGCAAGAAGGGACACCAAGTCAGTGAGTGCGGAATGCCAGCTTTTCCCTTGTAGGTCAAGTCAAAAAGAAGAAAATGTACCTGTTGTTTGATGTTCCTCATTTGCATGTCTTGAGGCACAATATACAAAGTAAATAATTTCTGCTATAGAGAAAGTAAACAGGCAGGCAAGACATTGTGTGTTTTACATGTTAGGAGCACAACTGAAGAGAGCAATGCCATGTATCTGTGTCTGAAGTCAGGGTCCTATCAATTCTCTGTTACATCATCAGACATAAAATACTCCAGATATGCCATTTACTTGACTTGCTGGGAACACGGTATCATGAGCCTGAACTAGGATTTGCAGGGAAATGGAGAAAAGGCTATTAGAAACAGAGAGATGGAAGAATATTGTGTTCTAAATGCAATGGAAATTTTAAAAAAGATGTTGAAATCACTAACATGGCTTAGTAATTAAACTGTGTCAATGCCCCGGCCAAGAAGAGTTCATAATTTGGAAGCTGTAGTTACTATTGACCTGATTTTACTATTGAGATCATGTCTGCATTTTAATTTGGAAACAAAATTGATCACTGTGTTCTATAAACAAGGCCTGTCAAGTTATTACTTTGCAAACACAAACTTATTTAAGAGCAGCATGATTTATGATATAGTATACCAGACAAATGATTTCATTTTTTATTTCATCTTTGAGCTTCTTTTAAGAGAGATTGCTTTATATTTTAAAATGGAACTCATCAAGTTCTTCAATAAATACTAAATTTCTTTGATAATAGTTTTTTAATATAGATATTTTAAAAGGATGCCTGTCTTTACTCCAATATATTGGCTTGATGCCCCAAATACTTCTTTAAAATTTATGAAGTGTTCGTTCCTCCTATGTCTTCAGAAATCATTATAATGCTCACTTATTTTTTTTAACAGTATTCAATATTACTGCATCCTAATATTAGTGGACAAAGCGTGCAATTTAGAAGGTTCATGTAATGTGTATATTTTACATAAATTGTTTCCTTAATCACTACCATATGAAGGACGACAGAAGGAAATCAATACAGAAAGTCTTATCTTTGTGTTTTAAAGCCATCTCAGACTTTCTAAGACTCTTACTGGTCTAGATCCATCTAGTCCATAATTTCAATTCCTTATAGGCTTTCTCAATACTCTAATTTTTGTATTTCATGATTCTTAAATAAAATTAAATTGAAACAAATAATAAAAAACATCTTCCAACTACGAAAGGGCAAAAATTACAAGTATCTTCTTTTGTAGATTTTGTTCTAGATTTTGTTCTACTCTTGCAAGTAGGTTCAGGATGAAAGAAATGCTCATTTTCCCTCTTTACGGAATGCTATTGCAGGAGGGTAACTGATGGTTGCATTCTAGGTGGGAATCCCGGGAAACTCTTTATTCTTGATGGGTTAATTTTAGAGCAGTCCTACCTTTTTCACCTTCTTTGTCTTCTTGGTCATCTGTTAGAGGGATCACTTCTGGTTGCTCCACAATCGTGTCATCTTCCTGGTTTGGTGAGAGCTCTAAATAGAATGAGACAGAAGGAGACTCAGGTATGTTTTCATCGGAATCAGTGAGAAAACACAGTGACTAAAGCAGAGAAAGTTAAAGTTCCTTTCTTTTTCTCCTCCGAGTTTTAAGAGGCACACAGAGCAGAACACTATTGCCATGCTCTGGTAATTAGTGCCTAAAACACACACGCACAATACTCACAAACACCAGTATAGACAGAAGTCATGGTTCACAGTTTCATCTCATTCTCAAATAACAAGGCATTCTGGTTTCAATACCTTCTGTTTCCATATATGAGCTCTGGGAGTCTGCCTCAATTTTTATTTCATTCTTCGTTGAATCATGCTCTTGTCCTGTTAAGAACAGTGATTGAAAAATAAAAGAAATGAGACATGCATGATCGTAGGTTTATCCCTGGTTTGGAAAAGCAAAACATTCAGAAACCGTGTTTCGATCCTGCATGGAGAAGCAGAGAACGGTTTCGAACCAAAGTGGGCAACTTTGCAAATCATCAAATTTATGTCAATTATTTTATGAGAAATAGCCAGGTAATTAGGCAAAAACCTCCTCTTTGGACTGACTGGTGTAATTGGTGTTTAGCTTATCAATGCACTGAATGTCAACTGACACAACCTGGAAGTTTTGAAATTTTAAGTAATCCCTGGGCTGTAATGGGTTATCTATGCTTAATTTTCCTTTAAGATGTATAAATTTCATGTACTGAGGATTCCTAGAAAATTAAAACCCTAGTATTCTCATTCTCCCATTAAAAGAGCATGAACATCTTAAGTAATGTGAGCACGCAGGGATTGGGTCACCTAACAGCTCAACCATTCTGTTAAGACACCTACTAAATATAGCAAAGGTCAGGAGAGAATTCAGCCAATTCTTGATTACTCCAAGGCTGATTATCTAGTAATGGTTTCTCTTCCACACCCCCTGGCTTCTCCCCCTCCCCTCCCCTGTAGAGTTTTGAATATTTAAGTGCTCATTAAGGGAGGAAATTGAAATCTGTCCATTTGCCTCATTTTAATGAAAGGTTTTATGCTGAGAATATGCTTTTTTTATGCTGAGAATATTTAACTGTTAAACTTAAAAAAAAAAAAAATCCAGGGCTAGAGTTGGTTATTGGCATGAAGGGGATACAGAGGGACTTGGACTCTGCTGTGGTAGACTGCATTATTGTTTGAACTGGTCCCTACTGCTTCCTGTAAGAGGATTCAACTCCATGTCTGTGACCATGTGACCTGCAGTGGCCCCTGTGGGACAAGTGTTTGTTCCCACCTCACTGACACCAGGCCTATTAGTGTGACTTGGTTTACAAAATGGCACATTTGGGCAGAAGCTTTAAGATCCATTGCATGTGTCCTCCATCTTTCTTGCTCCTAAGTGAGTGTGCTCCTTCAGTCTACGTCCTGGAATGAAAGCATGTGGAGCAGAACTAAGCAGAGACACAACACACCTTTGTTGTAAGCCAATGGAACTTTTAGGATTATTTGTTACTCCAGCAAAGCTAACTCGTACAACCCTTTATCTTTAGTTTCCTCTTTCATGCAACTATCCTTAAGCTGCCCACTCTATGGCTTCACCTTGATTCATTCTCTGCTAGCATGACCCCCCAAAAAGTTTTTTTTTTTTAAGATTTTATTTATTTATTCATGAGAGACAGAGGGAAAGAGAGAGAGAGAGAGAAGCAGAGGGAGAAGCAGTCTCCCAAGGAGCAGGGAGCCCGATGCGGGACTCGATCCCAGGACCCCAGGACCATGACCTGAGCCAAAGGCAGACGCTTAACCATCTGAACCACCCAGGCGCCCCCCCCCAAAAGTTTTTTGAGATCATTCCTCTTGAGCTCAATTTTAATCAAAAGGATCTGATAAAATAATTACAATGGAGGCATATTTATCTGATCATTGAAGCGAAATTTCTCAAGCTGTCTTTGATGACTTTCTGTCATCACTTCTAAAATTCAATGAAGTGCCGAGGCGCCTGGGTGGCTCAGTCGTTAAGTGTCTGCCTTCGGCTCAGGTCATGATCCCAGAGTCCTGGGATCAAGCCCCGCATTGGGTTCCTTGCTCAGCCGGAAGCCTTCTCCTCCCTCACCCACTCCCCCTGCTTGTGTTCCCTCTCTCGCTGTGTCTGTCAAATAAATAAAATCTTTAAAAAAATAAATAAATAAAAAACTAAAATTCAATGAAGTGCCATGTCTTGATGATTCTGCAAAATGTTTCTCTTTTCCCACTTTTCATTTCCCCTTCTCCTTTCCTCATTTAAGGATATATTGTCTCTCTCTTGGATCTGTCATTTTTTCCTCCTGTAGTGTATCCTGTGAATTGCTAGCTGAAATACCTTTTAAAACATGGATTTAATCAAGATGTTTCCCCTGCCGATAAACCCCATTCACCTCCATTCCACTCTGGTGCTACTTAAACTATGGTCTGTGGGTAAGAAACACTGGAATTTCAAAAATATAGGAGTTCAGGCCTCATCTCAGACCTAGAGTCAGATTCTGCATTTTAACAAGATTTCTAGGTGATCTGTATGTGCATTAAAGCTTGAGAAGCACTGGCCTAGGATATATGTGTATCTGCAAATTATTTATCCTATAAAAAATGCCAGACTTGGCCCAGACACTTCACATACATTATCTCTAATTACCACATTAGCCCTGAAATTAAGTATTGTGATACCCATTCTGCTTTCAAAATGTTCAACTACAAATCCTTTCTTCCTTTCTGTTTTGCTTGGAAATGTCTTTATTTTGCCTTTTCGTTTTTAAATTGAAGTATATCTTGCTTATAGTAAAACACAAAAGTCTTAATTATATAGCTTGAAGACTTTTGACATGCACATACATGTGTCTCCCTGTGCAATCAACACTCAGAATGAGAACATTTCTAGCACCAGTGGCTCTCCCTGTTGGTACCAATGGACACCCTACAATAGGTGAAAGGTAATAGTTTTGTCTGTTCTTGAAATTCATAAAAACAGAACATACACTATATGCTCTCTTGTTGCTTGCTTTCTCACATGTCCTCTGTGAGATTAATCCTAGTTGTTGTGTATGTCAATTGTTTATTCTTTTTTGTGGATGTATACTATTCCACTATCCAAATATATTATGTCCTATGGATGTTGACTTGTTTTCAGTTTGGGGCTATTATAAAGAACACTGCTAAAAACATTCTTGTGCGTGTCTTTTGGTGGATATATGTATTCATATCCCTTGGGTATAAACTCAGGAGTGATATTGCCAAGTAATAGGCAACACAAAACTTTGGCTTCACTAAATCCTGAAAAATAGCATTTGGAAGAGTGTGTTCCACTTTATACTCCCACCAGAAATGTATGAGAATTCCACGTGTGCCCTTTATCCTTCAGACAGTGTCATGATACTACTAGTCACAAAATTCTTTAATATGGAGAAGAAAGCTATGTGGAATCTTTTCCCCAAAACCCATTTTTTTTTTCACCTTTGGGTACCATATAAAGCGATAATGCCACACACTATCGGTCACTTATTTGACACTGTATTATGTGCTACTAAATGACAGATATGTCAGGTGCTGGGAATAGATCTTAAATAAAATAGATACAATACTTGTCCTCAAAATGCATAGTTGCAAGGAAAAAGGCACTAAATGTGCATAAAGTTCTTTCTAGTAAGATGTGAAACAGAGTTCCAAATTTATGAAAAAACTCACTTTTAGCAGATTTTTAGATCACAGGAAACTGAGAGGGATAACAAGTATACAGGACAACAAAATCAACACTGAAGCACTCTTAAATAGACTAAACGAAACAAGAAGAAATTTGATAAGGATAAATGTTAAATTCTAAAATCAAGCTTCAACTTCATGGAATGAGATGGGAGGAAATCAATCCTATTTCTGATAAAACTAGAGCTACAGGTTTTGTATTCCACGTTTACCCTAGATAAATACTGGATGGATATCAGAATAGTTGGATGGAGAGAAGGATTATAGCACATGGAAAGTGAAGGGGAGGGATGCCTGGATGGCTCAGCCAGTTAAGCATCTGCCTTCAGCTCAGGTCATGATCCCAGGACCTGGGATCAACTCCCGCATCAGGCTCCTTGCTTCGCGGGGAGCCTGCTTCTCCCTCTGCCTGCTGCTGCCCCTGCTTGTGCTTTCTCTCTCTCTCTGAAAAATAAATAAATAAAATCTTAAAAAAAAAAAAAAAAAAAGAAAGAAAGTGAAGGGGATTTCTCCATTTATTTCCTGGCAAACATCTTGCCTGGATAGCTATTTCTAGCTATCCAAACAAACAGGAGACTTAAAAATGAAACATAATAAAAGAGGGGAATTATAGTAAGGGAAAAATATTTTTGTAAAAAAATATATTCAGAAAAACATAAAACATAGATAGCATTTTTGTGTTTGCAATGAACTCTAAGAACGAATGAATAAGGAAATGAAGAGATGGATTAAATGAAGAAGAAATTATCCGAGACAATCAGAAAAATCTACAAGCTTAAAAACACAATGACAACATGAACATCAGCAAAGGATGTCATAAAAGAGAATGAACACTATTCATAAATTAATGTTTTAAAGAAATCAAATTTTTGAATTAAAATTCACTAAGAAGGCAAAAGTTAGGGAGCAAAATGAAACACAAAAAGATGATAGATACAGAGGACAGAAAATGCAATAGAATTTCTAATTTAAGGATTAGAGGAAGTCTAAGCAGCTGTATTTTTTTGTGATAGCAATCATTAAAAACATTATGAGATTTTCAAAGATTGTAGAACATAGAATATGATTTCATTTTTTCATTTTTTTCTTTAAATAATTTTTTATTGTTATGTTAATCACCATACATTACATCATTAGTTTTTGATGTAGTATTCCGTGATTCATTGTTTATGCATAACACCCAGTGCTCCACGCAGAACGTGCCCCCCTCAACACCCATCACCAGGCTAACCCATCCCCCCACACCACCCCCCTCCCTGATTTCATTTTTTATAACTATGTACTCATCTGCATTTTAGATTTTACAACAAATGCATATTATACAATTTAATACTTATAATGAAACAATTTAGAAAATAGAGAAAAATGCTTTCAGTGATATCATAGAAGAAAAATTTGTAACTAAAAGGTGTTTGAGTCTAGCCAAATCCAGTTACTTTTGCTCAATGTCTATTCTACTTGAACTCTAAATTTAAACACTTGAGAAATTCAGCTGTTGAGTACCTCTTACTTCTTGAATGTTCCTCTTTTTTGTCTTTTGGTCAAATCACCTACCTTTCTGTTCTATGTCCCAACCTACTCACCATTTTCTAAACACATTACTTTATTTCTTGCCTTTGTGTCCATTTAACACATGT